ATAATTTCAGAGATAATAATTTCAGAGATAACGATTTCACAGATAACGATTTCACAGATAACAGAATATTACGCTTCTTGGTAACTAACTAGCTTGTACAAAGGGAATAAATTATTTCGGAATCTCTCGGGACATTTATTAAACAACTCGTCCTCGCTTTGTTCTTAATGTTTCACTTTGAACTTTTGTAATCCCTTGTTCACGAGCTTGTTCAGCCCCTAATTATATCATATGAGCTATATTACCGAGTATCCACTGGCATCCACTCTAAACGAGTATAGTATTGTATGATCTAAATGCAGAACACCCGATAATATAGCTCCGATATGAATGACTTTCACTTACCAAAAAATAGGGGCTATAACGGAGTTCGTAATGCATACATCGATGATCTAGGAGACGAAGCAAAGACAAGACTTGATGTCATTGCATAATAAGTTTTAAATTATTATCTCTTGAAATTAGTATCTCTGAAATCGTTATCTCTGAAATTATTATCTCTGAAGTCTGAAGTCCCTTCTCGGCTTTCGTAGTCGTCCACCCAAATTCAATTTTTCGTTTGTGATGAAGGTCTAGTTGGTCGCGTGTGACTGGGAATCGCAGTAAACATAGAAGTGTTATGTTTGAACCCCAAAAGTTTCAGTCATTTTGAGGTAAGGATCTGGGTTGATGGATGTCATCATTTCGTGATTTCTTTATTGAATATCTCAGCAACAGAAAGAGATATCAAAAATAAATTAAAGGCTTTTCTTAATTGTATTTGTTAAGGACTTTGAAGGATTTTGGTGCTGTAGGCTTGATAGGCACTTGAGAAGAACAATTTTTAAAGCGATAAAGTAGTTGCTGTGACGATGATGAGCCCCTCTAGTCGTGCTTAAGTAGTGTTTAAAAAACGAGTAGGAGTGTTTTATCAGGTATAAAAGCACAAGGCGTAGCCGAGTGCTTTTATACCTGATAAAACACGATCTACGAGTTTTTTGAACTGCTTAAAACACTCATGAACAATTTATAAGATTTGGTTCAACTGGAGCCACCATACACGTCACGAACATGGATTTTTATACTTTGATAGAGATTTAACGTCACGGGCATGCGCAACCAGTGTTAATGATTTACCAGTGATTATGCTCGTATCACATAACCGTAATCGGATAGTTTGATTTGGGTGATAAGTTGATGTAGCGTGTCGAAGGAAAGTTAAACTAAGAAAGAAGCTCCTTAGAATATTAACTAATTTGCTATCCGGCCAAGTAGCACAGAGGTATGTAACTCATTATATTTAGTTCTCCTACAAGAAATTATCAATATTATTATTCAGCATAAACTTCCTATAGTTGGCTGAGCATTCATTTCTAAGTATCGCTAGACCACGTGTTGCATAATCATTCCCTAATCAAGCACATTTTT